TGCTCAATATTCAAAAATTTTGCTCTAATCTTTCTATTTAATTGTTCAACAACAAATAAAATAGAAATATCATAACGAACAAAAAATTTAACAAACATGACAACAATCGATGAAATGAGTAAAACATTTGTAAAGAAGATTCACGATGAAATCAAACAAACTAGTCCAATACATTTTGCCAACTCGGATCAAACTGGAATAAGTCGAGAGCGACTCGATCTCGATTCGATTTGAGCCGCACAATACATGTGTGGCCCAGGTGGTTGATCTGAAGCTCGCTGAATCGGTAGGCTTACCAAAATCTAGATTTTTAAAACATGCCCCCTTTCTCTTTCTACCGTAATCTTATCTCTATTTTTCGATTTTGGGACCTTTTATAGGCGCCCGCCCCGTTTGTCGTCGGCAATCTAACTTTGAGCTCAAATTTCTTCATGTTGGACTATCCAATTTAAATCTTCTTGGTATCATTAGATGCGTCAAGTCTTTCTCTGTCGATTGGTATAAAAACTATCTAAATTGAACAGCCGAACACCAAGAAATTTGAGCTCAAAGTTGGATTGGCAAAAGGGGGGGGGGGCGTATATAAATTGTCCCACAATGGCCCCGCCCCCTTTTGTCATTGGCAATCCAACTTTGAGCTCAAATTTCTTGGTGTTCGGTTGTTCAATTTAGATAGTTTTTATAACAATCGATAGAGAAAGACTTGGCGCATCCAATGATACCAAGAAGATTTAGATTAGATTGGTCCAACATGAAGAAATTTGAGCTCAAAGTTAGATTGCCAATGACAAAAGGAAACGGGGCGCGTATCAAATGTCCGATAATGCTATTTTTACCCATTTAGAATTACGGTAATTGATCAAGAAGACACAAAAGTATAAAGAAAAGCAACTTTATCAATAATATATTAACCAAGAATATCAACTGATCACAAAACAATTTTCAGCAATTTCATCCACCAGTGATCAGCCCTGTTCGACTTCAAAGAATCGGCTAATCGTCGAGTTGCTTCTAATTCAAGATCTCTATCCTCATCGATTTGTCATTGTGTCTTATAGTTAGCTTTATTAAAATTGTCAGTGATTCTCATTTCTCTCAAAAGTTTGATCTCAGAACTTATAGAATGGTGCAACAACGTGTATTTTCTTAATATCGTAATCTTTGTCAATTATTCAGTCGTATATTCAGTAACTTCTAGAGGATAAATATAATTCAGAATTTTTGTACTTTTAAAGCTTTTCATTGAAAGCCTTGAACACTTTTATTGGAATGTAATTTATTCATACTTTATTCAAGACATGAAATAAAGCCTAGACAATAAGAGAAATGTTATGTAATGGAATCTCTAATGTAAATAAAGAAAAAGACTTAAAAAATTGAAAGCAAACACTTTAGGAACTCCAAAAATCTTTTGCGAAAGTTTTACTTTTGCGATTTGCTTCCTCTGTGCTTAACAAGGGAACGTTCTAAAGAGGGTGTGAGACTTTTAAACGGCGATGCAAACGGTGAAGCAAACGGCGAGGCAAACGGCGAGGCAAACGGCGAAGCAAACGGCGAAGCAAACGGTGAAGCAAACGACAAAGCAAATGCCTATCGGACATGACGAATCCGATGCTGTGTTTATTTTTTGCCCACTGGCTTTGGCTTTCAAGAAAAGCGCATGCAAATTTCCTCAAAAACAAACTCTCACCTCACCTATAAGAGGGCGCCACCCTGACGGGAAGAAAAGCAGCGGCGGTCTAGAGGATAGTGCGTTAGTCTATCAAATTAGTACGATCTTTGCTCCCGGGTTCGACTCCTCTCGCCGCCCTACTTTTTGCTTTTTTTGTAAAACTTTCGCAAAAGATTTTTGGAGTTCCTAAAGTGTTTGCTTTCAATTTTTTAAGTCTTTTTCTTTATTTACATTAGAGATTCCATTACATAACATTTCTCTTATTGTCTAGGCTTTATTTCATGTCTTGAATAAAGTATGAATAAATTACATTCCAATAAAAAGTGTTCAAGGCTTTCAATATGGTTTTTCCTAGGCTTTCAATACGGCTTTTCCTTCAAAATCATTTTAGAAATCTTTCAAAACCATCATTTCCTTTGAATTCTTTTCAGTCATACTCTAAAAAGCAATTTGTAAACATAGAAAAGAAAAAAATCCTTTTTCAATTTAGGACTACGGTAGAGTCGGGGTCTCGTAGCGGGCGAATTTCGGCCTGCGGGCTGTTCGACTAGGAAAAAGGGAAATAGAGTAAAAATTGAAGAGACACAGGAACAGGGAAAAGAAAAAGGTTCTATAGTCGCACACACGTATTCGCTTTTGGGGGAATTGGGAGAGGGAAAATGGAAAATGGGAATGGGAGGCAGTGTTAGGACGCGACGCGGCTCTTTCCACCGCAACGCTTCTCTTTTTTCCCTTCTCTTTCCAAAATTCTCTCCTTTTTCCTCTTCTTTCTCGTCTTTTCCCGAAATCTATCGAAAGAACTCCTTTTCTTTCTCTCGATGATCACCACATTGATGGCTGTGCACCAAAAATTTTCCCTCTTCTGCCCGGCTCGCATCTCGCGTTTTAGCCAATAGGATTTTGTGGATTGTTTTTCCATTTTGCCATTTTTCTATTTTTTGATCGATAGGGCAGGCTGGGCTGTTGGTTTAAGTGACCCCAGCATAGTCTAGATGACTCATTTCGAGGAAAATGATTTTGAAATTTGGAAAAACGGCATCGCCGCGGTATAAGGCCGAATTACTTTCCTCGATCAAATGACCGAATGGTGTAGTGGTTAGTGAGCTTAACTTGACGCCTATGTCGGAATCATGGTCCATGGTTCGAATCCCTTCACTGCTTAATCCTTTTACTTTTTGTTAAATCACTAATTTGTTAGATGTTTTTAGAGTTTCTATAAACAGTAAGAAGTTAAATGGGGCTCCTGGAGCGATTTTCGTGCTTTCAGGTTTTCAAGAGTAAACCAACCTTATTGTAATTAGAATTTTATTAGATTAGAAGATTAGATTAGGAAACTTTTATTGTAACGAATTGGTAGATCAAGCAAGGGATTAACTATTAACTAAGGAAGCTAACTATTTCCAGATCAGAAGAAACGACGTGACTTTCTTGTACTTGATTGCAAGATATGCTCAATCCTTGCTCAATTTATTCACCTATTTTTTTAACGTTCAAGTATGATACTAATCTATTTTACAGTATAGTAAGCAAAGAAAATTGTCTAATTAACTGTAAGCAAATTTAGAAATGGGTTTATTTAACGTTTTTAAACGCAAGTTCAAAAAGTAGCCAGTTTAACGTAATATTTCACCTATTTTTAGCCTAATACTGGATTTTTACATATTGATTTGATGTGTTTATATAGATTTTTATAGATTTATATAGATTTATATAGATTTATATAGATTTATATAGATTTATATTGATTTATATTGATTTATATTGATTTATATAGATTTCTATTGATTTCTATTGATTTCTATTGATTTATATTGGTTTATATTGATTTAATTTGATATACAGTAATTGGATAAGATAAGATAATGGATAAGGGTTTAATAGATATCTAATAGACTACTAGATAATTGAAACGAGAAATTAAGCATAGATTTGGTGTCAAAAAGACCAGTGTTTTTGAGTACAACTTGATTGCATTTTAAATTGTAAAACTCTTGTTAAGCTTTTTATTCATTTAATAGATAGCTGTAGAGCTTGAATGTATTGCAAAGATTGTGCAAAGTTGAGAAACACAGCCAGCCCGTCAGTCAAGCCTCTTTTCTCTTCGTCGATCGTTCGCAAACGCGACGAAAAAGCGAAAAAAAAGATCGATCGACCCCAAAAGCTTTTGGCTTTAAAAAAAAACGGTTTCTCTTTTGGAAATTAAGATTTAATCATTTAAATGTAAATAGGAATTTGTTCTATTCAATTTCTCGCCATTGGCAATTTTTCTTGGCAATAAGCCTTGCCAATTGTGCAATGAGCGGTAGATTTGAAAAAAAAGCGATTTATGGAAATTTCTATAACTAATATTTGTAATAAGATATTCAGCTGAATAATTTTGTATCGAATTTTCTCTATTGCTAGAGTTTTTTGGTTAAACTGGTCGAATTGACTAAACGGTTTTTTGTTTAGAAAATTTTCCTGTTATAGCTCTTTTATTGTCCCATTTTTAAGGTTAAGCTAATAGCTGGCTTAAGCTAATAGCATTTTCCCCTTATACTTTATAAATATTCAGTTTTAGTTAGATATTAACTTTAGATTCGTGATCTAGAGCTCACTAGGACCCCTAGGACCACTAGGTCCCCTATTACACCTTTGGGCCAACCTTTCGACAAGCTAATCCCAATAAAACTCTCCAGAAATTGATTAAATCCTTTAATTTCAGTTTAATTCAATAAATATCACTTCAACTTTCCGTTTATACTTTATAAATATTCTAGAAATATTCAGTTTTTGTTAGAATTTCCCTTGGGTGAAGAGAAATGGGTAAAAAGAGATCCACGTCGGCGCTATTTTGACCCGCTTCGACGCGCGCGCGCGACGATCGATCAAAAAGACAAAAAAGAGGAAAAGAACCGCTTTTTGCTTTTTGTCTTTATGTCTATTGGGAAATAGCAATTGCTAAATCAAATCGTTTCTTTTCTCTTCGTAAAAGATTTGGCAAAATATGAGCACAATTGTTTTTTCTAGTGGTTAGCTATTTTTCTGAATCAAGAAAATCGATTTTATTAGCTGACTATCTTTCCCTTATATCTATTCTAGTATTAAATTCAAAAATTAGAGATTTTTGCTAGTTTCCCAACACCAACGCATCACTGGTTATATTCGTATCGATTGATTTCAAAAGGCGATCCAAATTTTCAAATGTTTACTCGACAATTTGAATCTGTGGATGGATTGCATTTATTTAATTTATTTAATTTGTTTAATTTCTTTTCATTTATTCTTTATCTATGTTTTCTATGTTTTTTTAAAGATTATAATTTTAACTTACAGAATCCTAGAGGCAATGCACGACGAAGGCGGAGAAGCGGGCGGTTCTTGCGGTCACTCAGCCGCACAACACGACGATCCATCCGGAGCCACCGCGCAACAAATGTTGAACGATTCAATCTCGGAAGGGATCTCAAGTCCGCATGGTAGATTCTAGATTTATGTTTAGGGCTTAAAATGTAGAGATCTTAGATATCTAGATATTAGAATGAAGGATTTAAAAGCGGTACTAGATCTAGGAAAACGCATAGGAGCAATCCATTAGTCTTTGGCTAAAAAGATTGATTATAGTATAAGATCTTAGATATCTAGATGTTAGAATGGAGGATTAAAGTTAAATAAGTTTATTTGTATATAGATATAAAAATACTAAGTAAATAAAGAAAGACAATTCATAGGTTGCATTTGTAAATCAAATGGCTTTAAAAAGTTTAAGTATACTAGCCTTTTTTAGCCATATTTAGACATATACTATATCCGATTTAGATTTTTATCCGATTTAGACTCAATCTAAATCGTATAATCGGCCTCAACAATAGTTTTAACAATTGCTGCGTTGGTAAATCATGTTTTTGTCATGTTTTTAACAGCTTTAGATGGAAATGGCTTTAAAAAGTTTAAGTATACTAGCCTTTTTAGCCATATTTAGACATATACTATATCCGGTTTAGATTTTTATCCGACTTAGACTCAATCTAAATCGTATAATCGGCCTCAACAATAGTTTTAACAATTGCTGCGTTTGTAAGTCATGTTTTTGTCATGTTTTTAACAGTTTTAGAGGCAATTTGGCGACATCAACGACATAAAACTAAAACTGAGTACACTTTTCTTTAAAAAAAATGGCTAAATTTGGTAAAAGTTACGGGTTTTCCTATGGCTTTTGACCTTTTTTGGTTTAAAAACGATTTAGTGCAAACACGTATCAAAAACATGACAAAAATATGACAAAAACATGATAAAAACATGATAAAAGCATGATAAAAGCATGATAAAAGCATGATTTATCAACGAATCAATTGTTAAAACTATTGTTGAGTCTAAATCGGATATAAAACCTACATATAGTTAACTAGTTCCAGGTTAAACCATCTTCATAAGCTAACGCAGTTTTCTTACAATTTTGAAACAATTTTATAGATGAAAACAGAAGCAAAAAATGATCAAAAAGGACAAAACGATTACAAAATTACCAGTTAGAAAAAGTCTTTTGATTCTTGAATAGCTTTAGAAACTGATTAAATAGTTTTCTGGGGTGGGCGGGGATTAAACTTGTGCAAGTAAACGATTCTTGCCGACAGCGAGGCTTTTATTCTTGTGCAAGAAAATGAGAACTGTTATAACTTTCACTAGTGAATCAAAGTTTAAATTGAAAATAATCCAATAAATTCTCCTTTCAGAATGCGGTGGCTCAACTACGCGAAAGGAGAGCTCGCCATTCGCGCGTTTCCCTCGCTATAGCCACGATTTGCGTCACCATCCGCCATGTGGACATAATTTACGGTAAATTTAAAAGAAAATTTAGATCTTTCTTTAGATCTTAAAATCATAAAATAGAATCTTGTTGATTTAGAAATTTCAGGAGTAAACGTTTGAACGGGATCTCGGTGGCGTGTCAAACCGATTCAACTGACGAGTTTCCGAGAGAACAGAATTTGTTGGCGGTGCGAGGTGAGTGTAAGAAAGGGTAAAAGTAATGAGGGAACAAAATTCACTAGATTTCATTTAAAATTGTTGATCTTTCGACTATTTTGGATCAAACACAAGTCTAGAATTGACTTTGAAATGTCTACTCAGTATTATTTGACTTATTTACTACATCTATTCTATATAAGTTGATAAAATGATATAATTGATAGTGATAGAGTTGATAAAATTCCCTAGTTAAACTGGATAGCTATCTTCAGATCTATTTGATCCAAAATTTGATTCTTTTCTATCCAAAATCCTATTTGATTAACAATTGATCAACAACTTTAAGCTAAGCTTAAAGAAAAAGGTTCACGGATGTTTCTCCGTTCTCCGAACTAAGATTTAGCTGTCCAATCAATTTTTAGTATCTTTAATGTGCGAACAAGACTAAATCTTTATCTAAAACTAAAATTTCAGCCGCTCAAACGGAAGCCTCATCCTCGTCATCGGAAGGAGTGCTCCGATTGATGATACAGAATTTTCCGAATATGAACGACACCGTGCGAGGACCAAGTAAAAAGATCAACGGGGTGCAATGGTCAGTTTTTGAAAATGATACTGATGAAATGACTAATTCGAACTCAAACCAATAACACTTAAAACAAGAATCCAATTGTTAGCCAAAGTTTTTAAGAACGCGTCCAAAGGTGCAACGAAAGTTCGAAGCCATCTTGCTTTTAGCGCCAACATTTAGGTTTTAGATAAAATTGTTTGAAAAACGGTTTAGAAATTCGAAATCTAGATGAAATTTTGGTCTAGAAGAAATTTCTTCAGCAAAAACAACCTTTTCAGCCATATTTTCTTGTGAAACAATAGCTAAAAGTTGAAATTTGATTACGATTACTTTTTAAAGCTATAAGTTTTTCATTTCAGCTTCAATAAACCTCAAATTTTGCTATTCGTTTAGAAAGATTTTAGAAAATAGAATTTCTTTTGACTGACTACGTTTAATTAGAAATTTCAGAAAATTCAGATGGTTTTTGAGAGAAATTCAAGCGACAAGCATTTTGATTGATTCTGGCGATATATTGCCAATTAAAAAAGGCTTGATCTTTCCTTGTAAAGCCTTAAATTTAACATAAACTTTCTATAATTACAAACTTTTATAAGAATATTCAGCATTGGATAGTTTTTTTTTGTTAGTTTAAAAGCTGAATTTGAGGATTCAAAAGCAGGTGGCTTTGAACTTTTGCAGCATATAACCAGCTGAAATCTTCTCGCTTTGTCTAATCGATTTTCGATTCAATTTAAATAGCAACATTGAAAAATGAAGAGAAAAATGAAAGATAAAACAAAAAAATGATCTAAACGCTTTCTTTTTAGGAAGATCATGGTGATGCCGAGACAACACGTCGTGCAGAAGAAAGGCACACAGAAATGTCTCGGTTTCTTTCTGCAATGTTGCCCTGATGCGTACTCGGAGTGAGTTTTTTTTTTTGTTAAGAGAAAGCCATATCTGATAACTTTCACAAGGATGACAAATAAAGTAAATATAAATCGAGTAATACAGCAAATACAGGGCAAACACAGGAAAAGTTTTGTCCACATTAATAGATTTTATAATAAAACTTCCTCAAAATAGAGTAAAATGAAAATAAAATTTAGAAAATTCGACTATTTTTCTTTTTATACATTTTTGTTTTAAAGAGGAATAGCTTTTTGAAGTTTATTTTTAATGTTTTTTCAATCTACGCAACTCCATTAAACTCCCGCGATTTTTAAGCTCAACTAACAATGTTTAAGACGCTGAAAATCGATAATTTCAAAAGCAATTTGACTGTCTAAGCTATAGTTTTTATAGAAAAACTATTCTTCTTTTAGATAGGTTATCAAAAAAAGGAAATCAAAGCTGTTTAGAGAAGAAATTGTAGAAAATTGATACGCGATCAAACTGAAAAACGGTATTGGCTCACAGAAAATACCGTTTTTCTGTGAGAAAATATCGTTGCCAATACTAAAAAAGTTTTTGAAACCATACTTTTCCTATCTCCAGGGTTAACGTAGAGTAAAAATCATTAAAAACCATTAAATTTGTAATCAAACCATGTAAACAAGAGTAACCATTCAAATTTGAGACACTTTAGGCTTTTACAGCTTTTACTTTTACAAGTTTTACAAGTTTTATTATAAAGATAAATCTACTAATGCGAACTTTTCACTTTGTATCTAAAAATTGCAGTGCTTGGCAATGTCAAGCGTCGGCGGAGTTGCGTTTGATCTCGCAGAAGCCGGGCGTCAACCATTTCACCCGGAAAACGAATCACATCTACACGGCTAAGGAGAACGATTGGGGATACTCGTGCTTCATGACGTGGGCGGTGAGTGCAATGTTTTTTGATGGATCTTAGAGATTGTGAATCCTGTTTGTAGTGTAGGCTTGGTTGGATTTGATTGGATCAAACCTGTAGATTTAAGTCTAGTTCGTAGCCTTACAGCCTCAAAGTATTCAATCATCAGGACAGTGTCTTTCAATCATCAGGACTGTGAATTTTTCACTTGAAATTACTCAGCCTTGTCTGTAATTTGCATTAGAATTTAGCTAGGTTATCTAGAAAACTAGACTTTTACAGTATCCAAATCTAATCGCTTTTACAGAAGCTTGTTAATCGAATGACTGTAGAAATATTTGCCTAAAACCAAAGCCTCGTTTACTTTGTTAAAGTCGGGCCAGTCAAACCGGCTCTGGATCAGTTAGACTTGAATCTAGGCCTGGTTTCATAATATATCTATTGAATTATTGGAATGTTTTAAATAGATAATCAAATTTTAATGCTATACTCTACCGTTTTATCAATTCCTTAATTTCCAGGACATTTTGGAGGAAGACCAAGGCTATATCAAAGACGGTCGAGTCGTTTTAGAGGTGTCTGTTAAAGCGGACACGCCAAAAAACATCTTGTAAGTGTTTCACAGGAAAAACATTTGTATTCCTCCAATTTTCAGGACCTATGAGGACTTTCAAAAGCAAATTCAAAGCTGGTACGACCTGGCGGAACTACAGCAACAGCGGGGATTCATCGATTTGGCATTGGAGGCGAACGCGCAAGCGTTGAAATTCTGCAAAGTGAGTGCAAAATTGACTGAAACTGAGTGATCCAGCGATTGCTTTTGTTTTAAAGTGCTAGAAGTCAAACCTCTAGACCTGTACCTTGGTTCACAAGGAGTCCTTGTACCAGTCAAATCCAGGACTAGGGCTTACAGATCGTAGGCCCGGTCGGAGCATTCCTGTTATAAGAATAGATCCTACTCAGTGATCCACTCAGCTCCAAGCTTATCATTGATTTAAATATTGAATCAAATTATTGAATTTGTGAACTGATAAGTTTAACTACTTGGGTTTGAGAGTATTCTCGAGCGCATAGAGAACACTGTTCTAATACTTGAAAACAACGGAAAATGTGAGTATTCTATTGTTTAGCAAGCTCTCAACAGTTCCAAACAGGTCCTAGATTTTGTTATACATACTGTTAACTGTTAACAGTTTTTGGTTAGAAGCTAGCCCAGTCCTAGTCGAGCTCTAGCTTCTGACAATAGACTTTGTCGGCCAGATAATAAAAAAGTGAAGGATTTGGCAAAAGTGGGTTTCTGGAGAGGGATTGAGCCTTTTTGCCTTGATCTTTCGGGCAATTGCTCTAACCACTGAGCTATTCGGTACTTTAACTTGTCAAGAGAAAGAGGGAAAGACAAGGAAGAAGAAGAAAGAAAGAAGGAAAGAAAGGAGGAAATAAAAGGAAGAAGAAGAAAGAAAGAATGAAATACTGGTCTTCAAAACCTTTAGAATTCATAAATGAACTTGTAAGAAATACAAATTCATTTAAATATTTTTTAGATTAATTTTTCCTTTTCAGGACCGTGATGCAGCGATCAAAGAACGTTTGGAAGAGCAGAAGAAATTTTTCGTTGAGCGAAAACTTGTCGAGAGTATTCAGAGGATCGAGCAGAAAGGTTTGTTAGATTAATTGACAAATGATTTACAGAGTAATGATGAGAAATCGTTTTTTTTTTTTTCTTTCTCAAATCATCGTTCTTATGTCCAGATTTTTGTGAAGGCTTATAGTGATCAAGGAAAGGGATTTAAGAGAAAAAGTTTTGTTGTTTAAAAGAAAGACGACAGAAAAGTTTTTGTTGTTTAAAAGAAAGACGACTTTTTTGTCGGTTTTAAAATTTACCATCAAGTCAGTTTTACTAATCAATTCAAGAACAAAATAGACGATTACCATTTTCCTAATAGTAGTTAAAGGTTTTCAAGGTAAATTAAAGCTTTTCAAGGTAAACTCATGTTTTCCTTTTCTTTATTCAATTTTGCGTTGCTCAATTGTTTATTAAATGACTTAAAACAGTAAAAAATTATATAAAAATCGACTTTCTATCTAATGTTTATTTGAATTTTTGAATAGTTTCTCTTTTTTTTCTGTTAGTGGTAGACGATTGGCTATTGATTGATTGAGAATAGCGAAAAGATGGAAAAGAAGAGAGAGTTAGAGATGAAGATGGATATGAAAAGAAAAGATTGCATAGATTGGACAGAGTTCGACGAGATCACGAAAGAATCAGTTTCGCTTGAGTTTAGTCTATAGAAATCGATGATAGTTACCGGGAAACTATAAAAATGCTATTTATACTTGTTCCACTATAAAAATGCTATTTATATTGTAAATATTGTAGCAAATATTGTAATAAAAATGAATTTTAAAATAGTTTATAAGGTTGATAGTCGATTTTGCTTTACAAATAGCCCTTATTAGTAATCAATCTCTAGATATTTAACACTTCGACAACAATTTTAGTTTCCAAAACTTTCTAGAACCTTTTTTATCCCAGTTTTTAATACTCTATTCGTTCAGGAGAAGCTAATTAAGTCACTAGATAAATTCTTTTTCTTTTGCTTACCTAAGAATCAAATTATGTTGAAGAGAAAGTCTTTGCCGATTTTTAGAGTTTTAAACTTGTCCAATTTTGACGTGTAATAGCTCATTTAAAAGCTAATTTAAAGCTAATTTCTAGCGAATTAAATAAAAATCGTTTGTTCTATATAAAAACAACAAATTTTCCTTTTTTAGAGCACTGAAAGTGGTGATTTTTGTTTTTTAATTTCAAAGTTTTTACAGCCGTTTTACTGAGGGGCGTCAGAGTCCAAATTTCAAAAAAATGAACTTTGTTCATTCTTTTTGTAAGGAAACCTAGATTGAAATCATGTTTTTTAGAATCAGCATCGAAAATTACCCTAGATAACGCAAAACTCATCATTTTAGCAAAATTTTTTCAAAGAAAACCTGCCGCGCACCGGGGTCGAACCCTTGACCCTCAGATCACCGCTTTCAGAGCTCTAAAAAAGGGAAATTTATTCCTTTTCCTCTTCTTTGTTTTGTACTAGTCTAAAACTGAGTTTTAGATGACTATGGAGTGTCAATTTGATCTGATAGAACGGCAAAGACTTTCTCGCAAACCTAATAGTCTTTCAATCAAGCATTTAGCCTTTAGACTTTAGCCTTTAGCATTTAGTTTTTAGCCTTTAGCCTTTAGACTTTAGCCTGTAGCCTGTAGCCTTTAGCCTGTAGCCTTTAGCCTGTAGCCTTTAGCCATTAGCCATTAGCCATTAGACTTTAGCCTTTAGCCTTTAAAAGTTAAAGCCTTTAAAACTTAAAGCCTTTAAAAACTTGTCTCTAACTCTTCTCGCATACATTATACTCCAAAAAACGATGAAAAAAAAGAAAAATGGGAGCTATTTGCCTAAGTGGGATAGAGTGTGATAAAAAGGGGAAAAGAGGAAAAAGAGAAAAAGCGAAAGAATCGGTGTGTCTCAAAAATTTTTTTGCGTTCTTTTCTCAACTGGACACGTGCTAACTTTACAGCCAAAGTGATTGAAAGAGGAAAAGGATTGGGGAAATTTGAGAAATTAGAGAAAAATGGAGAAAAGAAGAGCAAAAAAAAAGTCAAGAACGGTCATGTAAATACTCAGGTTGGGTGTGTTGGTTAGGTGAATGGGGGAAAGGGGGAAAGTGGGAGAAGCTTTTGCTTTTTTTTTTTTTTGAGAACTAGAAGAATTGATGATGGTTTGAAAAAGTGATTTGTGAATAGATAAATTATCGATTTCTAATAGATAGATCAAAATTTCAATCTTTGATACTAGAGAAACGCTACAGATACAGGGTGCGGCAAAAGTTCCGACACTTTTTGTAAACGGGCAGTTTGACTTGGAAAAAACGCGATTTTTGAAAAACTAACACCGGATTATCAAAATTCAGATTTTTTACGCCCTAATATACTTTTTTACACAAAAATCGCTATCTAAACAACCTTTTGATGAGAATGTTTAAAGGTCGTTACAGCAGTTTTTTTTTTTGCTGTTGAGATTTGGGTGCCCTTTGTATTAGGTTGTCCAATAAGTAATGCGTGTTACTTATTTCGATGTTACTCATCGAAACCAGCTTCATTCTATTATGACGGACTTCACCCTTTGCTCGGACGATGGAGAAATGTTGTTGATTGTTGTGGAGAATATATCGATTATTAAAGTTCTCTTTTGTTAATTTTGTGATATTTTGAAAATCGTGTCAAAACACGCATTACTTATTGGACAACCTAATATTGGGTTGATGCATAATTATCCGGACTTCTTTTATAAATGATTTTATTTAACAAAAAATAACATAAATAGTTAGAAAAATATGTTTAATTGATTATTCTGGAGCATATTCACCGCCTACATCAATAACTGATTGCCATTTGCTTGGAAGACGATCGATTCCACGAGCGAAGAATAAACGATCTTTGGAGGCAATCCACGCTTTAACATCGTCTATCAAGTCATCCAAATCGTTGTAGATCTTATTTGTTTGCCAATTTTTGAGCGATCGATTGACGTGGTAGTCCGTTGGGGCTTCTCCAGTTCTTTGAGATCGCGAAACGACTCTGCGGCAGACCATCCCTTTTCGAAGTGGTAGAGCATGATATGGCGAAGATGGATATGATTGTCGACACGCATTTTGTTCACTAAAGAATAACGAATATTTTAAAAAAAGAAATAGACAAAAAGCTTTCAAAACAAAAAAGATACAAGCACGCAAAAAGAAGTCCGGATAATTATGCATCAACCCAATAGAATAGCTTGAAAATTTTTCGTTTTTGAGATATCAATTTTTTTTTTGTGGCTTGTTTTTAAGAAAAAAAAAAAACTCAGTTCTATCAAATGGTAACAGCAGTTTTTGGAAAAAATTTCATTCTGCAAAGTTTAAGTCAACTTTCGCAAAAATCTTCGGCGACCAGACCGGGATATAAAAAATTCTCGTCAAAAAGTTATTGAGAGTTGAAATCTTTTTATGAAAATGGCTATATTGGGGTGAAACTACGTAAATTTTTAGAATCCGGCGTTAGTTTTTTGAAATTCACGGGGTTTTTGAAGCCAAAAAAAATGACTGCTTACAGAAAAAGTGTCAGAACTTTTGCCGCACCCTGTATCTGGCAAAGAAAACGCCGCTATTTTCGTTTATTTTTAGTTTATTTCTTTAGTTTATGACTAAACAATTTTGTTGTTTGTTTTTAGTTTCTAAAAACAGTTAGTGTTAGTTTCTGCTTTAGTCTAGTGGCTAGTGAACTAGAATATCGTAACTGTTGGATTTTGATGCAATTTCGCTTTGTATTTAGCATTTGTTTGCGATCAAAAAACGACTTCTAATGAAGTTCTGGTTAAACTGAATGAATAATTGAAAGTAAATAGGCTATTAAACAAATAAAAGCTGCAAAAAGTGCCAAAAAAAGAGTACAAAATCCTATCATCGAATCTAGAAACTTACACAAAACATTGATCATTTATTTATCTTTATTTATCTTTATTTATAGGTACATTGACAAGCGTGCCGGATGATGAGAACGCCTCGCAAAATGCTGTTCGATTGGCGCTCACTCAGAACACTGCTCAGAAAATACCAGCTGTAAAAGGAGGAAAAAATGGGAAGAAAAATCCGACCAATAAAAAGGTTCGTTGAAAAAGAGAAAAAAGAACAAAATTATTGAAAAATGATGAAAAATCGTTTTTTTTGTTCCACTTTTTGATAAAAAAGAAGCCGAGTTTTTTATCATTTTTCAATCACTTTTTTCTAAATTCTGGTTAATGCTAGAAATATGTTCTATATCTCAAAAAATTACCCATTTTCTCTACTTTAATTTGATACCTAAACGAGTGGAAACAACAGCACTGGTGTTGAGATATGAGCGTTTGTTTGAAGAGTAAACTTAGACTACGCGACGATCCTATAGGGGCTTCTGGAGTATTTAACAATGATTTGAAGTAAGTAATGTAGGTACAGGTGCTACAAGAATCTTGTAGGAATAGATCTTTGTTGTGAATTCAAATTGATTGTGAGACCTTTCATACGCGAGGCCCCGCCCCTTTTCCCCATTAGCAATCTAACTTTGAGCTCAAATTTCTTGGTGTTGAGCTGTTCAATTTAAATCTTCTTGGTATCATTAGATGCGGCAAGTCTTTCTCTATCGACTGGTACAAAAACTATTGAAATTGGACATTCCAGCACCAAGAAATTTGAGCTGAAAGTTAGATTACCAATGGCAAAGGGACGGGACCATTGTAAGACCTTTTATACGCGCCCCGCCCCTTTTACCAATCTAACTTTGAGCTCGAATTTCTTGATGTTGTTCAATTTATAAATTATTGATCTCATTAAATTAAATGAAACTGGCGGGGCGTATATAAGATGGCCCAGTGGCCCCGCCCCTTTTCCCATTGACAATCAAACTTTGAGCTCAAATTCCTCGGTGTTTGGCCGTTCAATTTAAATAGTTTTTATACTAATCGATAGAGAAAGACTTAGCGCATCTAATGATATCAAGAATAATGAAATTAGACAGCCTAACATCAAGATATTTGTACTCAAAGCTAGATTGCCAATGGCAAAGGTGGCGGAGCTTGTATCAAATGACTGATAACCTTCCAAAATTCAGAAAAATCGTGCCTCAACTCCACCGGGCAATCCACCAACGGAAAACAAAGATGACAGCAAAGATGGAGATGAGAAAGTGGACGTGAAAAGTGGACGATTCTCGAAGAATGTTCTCCTTCGTGGACATCGAGAGGATAGTTATGCAAATTTGGCAAAACAATTCTACGAGATGCCACCAGAAGCGATCCAGCTGGATGAACAGGACACTAGGGTGAGTGATTTTTGCTTGGGATTTGAAAAGAAACAGTTTTGGGAAGACTTTTCATGGATTGAAAGCTGAAAACTGAAATTGTAAGCTCTGGATTGAACGTTGAAACTAGAAAATCACCTAGATTCTGTAAAAATTCGAAATTTCTATTTTCAGGACGGTTTAAGCTACATGTTTGATCAACTCTTTCATGTCGCTCGTTTGGACTATCCAAACAAATTCAATTCAACCCCTTTGGACATGGAGTTACAAAGACAATTGATCATCAAGAAAGCGACGATGTTCGTTGAAGCATATATGGAAAGAGTGAATCGAGGCGAAGATTTGGTGGAAAGTGAACCGGAAGAGGCGATCAATGAGATGGATTTGAGTAATTTATGGCAACCGACATTCAAGGAAAGCACAGAGGATCGAGCGTTTATCATCGAGAAGAATATGGGATGGTTGGACGCAAAAGTGAGACTGTTTTGGGTAGGTTTTCATTGTTTTAAGTGATTTTAAAAGGAGATATTGGATAGGGTTTTATCTGAGGAAGAATTTGGTGTTTAATAGCACCGCTGCTTGTCTCTAAATGGTGTCATAGTACCGTAGTCTCATTCCAAAAAGCTTTCCCACTACCGTAGTTCGATTTTAAAGTAACAAAAGGTGTCCGATTACTGTAGCTCGATTCTAAAAGCTATTAAACTATTGTATGTTGATTGTAAAAGATCTCTTACTACTTAATCCGATTCTAAAAACTGCCTTATTACCATAATTTGTTTTAGAATGATAACGAAAACATCTGTCGGTTCTTTTTTATCGTTGATAAAAGGTCTTTCGTGTTTTTCTCAGCACCAATCCTTCGATTTTGTCTATTTTGACTTTCATTTAATGCAGAATAAAATTGCGCGTCGAATGATACCAAAATTAACTCAAAATATAAAATCCATGCAAAGTTATTAACTAAAAACCTAAACCCCGCCCATTTCTTAACCTTTTGTCTCATAACTTTACATGGATATTACATTTTAAGTTAATTTTGGTATCATTCGACGCGTAACTTTATTCAGCATCGAATGAAAGTCAAAATCAAAGGATTGGTGCTGAGAAAACACGAAAAACCTTAAATTGCCAACGGCAAAGATTAAGTCCCGCCCATAATAGGCGGGGTTTTGGTTTTTAGTTAACAACTTTGCGTAGATATTATATTTTAAGTTCATTTTGGTATCATTCGACGCGCAATTTTATTCTGCATTGAATGATAGTCAAAAGAGTCAAAGTCAAAGGATTGGTGCTGAGAAAAACACGAAAAACCTTAAATTGTCAACAGATGTTTTCGTTACAAGTCGAATTTATTTCTAAAAATTTCCTTATTTCAGTGGTTTGATTTTAAAGTGTTTTTATTGCGGTAGTTTATTACCGTAAATCCGTAATGTTTCTACCGTAAGCCAAATGTTGACTTAAAAGTTTGAGAATTTGTTTAAACTTTAGTCTTTAGCTGTAAAATAGTCAGTCAGAGTCAGCGTTTTTTTCAGTCAGACACTTTTTTCACTAGATTCTTTAAATAGCTTATTTTACCTTTATTTTCTTTCTAGAATAGGGTTTTCTTTAAAGCGACAGCAATCGTTTTAAAGAAAACCTTCATTACCGTAGTCTGGCTAATCTTTACCTTCATTACCGTAGTCTGGCTAATCTTTACCTTCATTACCGTAGTCTGGCTGATCTTTACCTTCATTACCATAGTCTGGCTCGTCTTTACCTTCATTACCGTAGTCTAGCTAATCTTAAAAAAAGAAAAAAACCTTTCTCCTATGAAAAATATAACTCGTATAGAATTTCATCCAGTTGGAGGACGATTGCTCATTCTCTGACGGTGCTTCATGCTCATCGGAAAGCGATTCGGGCAGTGGTGACGGGCCACAATTGAAGAGGAGTCGCTGTGATGTGGACGAGCGCTGTGATCATTGCATTCTCGCCGAGAAACTCGAGCAACTCTATTTTGGTCGAGAAACCGTAAACGAACTATTGAAGGATCGTTTTTCAGTTGGACCGAAAAAATCGGACAGCGAATGTCAGACGGAGCCCTTCTGTGAGACGGTGGTGTTGGCACAAAATGAGGCCGCGAAAAAGGTAACGTCTTTTATTCTGTAGTAGAAATTGTAATTAGAACTTGTACAGTACGAAAGAGTACGAAACAGTACGAAAGTTTTTTGTTTAGAATCCAGCCGTTGGCGAAACAGTGCCCGTTCCAACCGTTCGCTTGAATGCTACGCAACGCTCAAATCGACAAATCAAAACGGTGACGAAGAAAAACACGGCGGTTAGCGGAAAAGCTGCGGCAAATGCTCAAGTGATCAGTCAACAGTTGGCAGCAATGCAACAAGCACAGCTAACACAGGTAGATAGGAAACGTACGTACAATGACAAGAGATAATCCGTCGTTAACCTCAAACTCTCTACTTGAGAAATTTTGAAAATAAAAATGGAATAAGAAAGCCGAATTTTTAAAATATTAAACCGTCCTATAAGATTATTGATATCAAAGAAGTAGTGAAAAATAAATGGATTTAAACAATTCACATAAGATTTCATCTTTTAAATCCCATATTTTCAGCCACCAATCCCACCACCAACCTCAATGATGCCACCACCACACGAGATGCTCGACGCCTCTCAGTTCGTTCAAGGATTGGTAAGTTGAGCTGACTTTTTTGGTGCCTTGTATAATACGCGTTGACTCTTCAAGAAAATACGCACCAACTTTGCAGTTCGTCATATTTAATAAGGCATTTTGTAAGATACAAAATAGAATTACGAAATGTTTTTATTAGAAAATACAGACTGACAGTCTATTTAGCAATTTAGGCGCCGGTGAAGCCGGTGCGTATTTTCTTGAAGCTTCAGCGCATCTTATGCAAAGTGCCCTTTTTTTGCGTGAACGCATGTTTGTCAACAATATAGGGCACCCTTTTTTTTTGAATGCTAGAGTTGTGAGCTTTAGTCGTTTTTTTCTGGAAAAGTTTTGCTTTTGCTGTTTATTTTGATTTGTTCAAAGTTCAAAGAAAAGAAAAAGCTCTAGAAAAGAAAAAAAATCTTCAGAAAAGATTCTAAATTAACGAGATTTTCGAAAAATAAACAGCAAAAGTGTGATTGTGTTTGGGAAATGTTAGAAGAAAAAGAAAAAGAAACTGGCCAGGGCACTCGGTGTTTTTTTTCAGGCGGCTGCCCATTTGGCCTCAATGCCTCCACCACCCGGGCTGAGCACTGAAGATCTAGAGAAACAGGTAGAAATAGAAAAAAATCACACGGGAAATGATTGTTTACGTGAAATGAACGTGCTTAGCAATGCGTTTACTTTGAGCTCTAGAAAACACATCTTCTGGCACGCTTAGGCACGTGCTAGAGAGAGTGCGTTTACAGCCGATCACTTTGTACTTTGTGCTCTTTGTAACACATCTTCTGGCACGCTTAGGCACGTGCTAGAGAGAGTGCGTTTACAGCCGATCACTTTGTACTTTGTGCTCTTTGTAACACATCTTCTGGCACACTTAGATTTAGACAGTGTGCCAGAAAATGTGTGTTTACTAGAGCATAAAGTACCAGTGTTTGGCTTGTGTACTTTGTGCTTTCCAAACGTGTACCTTCTGGTAAACAAATTGCTAAATAGGTTCATTTGCATAAAATTGTTAAAGTACTTTATTTAAAGTACAATTCAATTCAATGCACAGTCTTTTATTGCTTAAATGTGCACGATTCTCGTAGTTTTTTTTTGTGTTGGTGATAGCTTTTTTTGTAGGTGATATGCTCAAATTTTGTTCAAGTGCACCTGGGGAAAAATCTTTGGGAAAATTTGAATTTGAAAATTTGTGTGTTTAACTCTCGAAAATTCAGTTCCGCGAGTGCACAAACGAGATGCAAGTGGACGAGTCGACAAACGAGTTCTTGAAGCACACTTTCGCGAGAGTTTGGACGATGATGAGAGGATTCGATGATCAAACGGTAAATGTGAGTTTTCAAAAACTTAAGCTGAAAATATTTCGCTTCAAAAATCTAAGCAATAAACAAATGATAAGCCTGTCAAAATAGCCACAGGCGATTTTAGTGAAAAAAAAATTGATTGCTTGATTTTGAATCGACGTTTTTGGTCGAGTGACTACGAAGTAATCCTCCTTACACGTCCAGTAAATTGAATATCTTTACATTTGAAGGGAATTTGCCACCAAATCAGTTAAACGGCTGAATATCTTTAGAGCCATATAAGTCGACGCTCGTGTTTTTTTCGCGCCAATTTTTTGCGATAATTTTCAAAATGTTTGAAAATTTGTCAATTTTTAATCTTTTTAAAAACGCATTACTGCTCTATTGCTTATATTCTTTAAAATTAAGGATTCAATGTGCCAGCCGGTGTACGTTACTGATTTGTAGCTCTAAAATTTTTGATTTAAAATTTATTGACAAGTTTTGATTGTTTAAAAAAGCTCGAAAGTTTTTGATTTTAAAGAAATAGACACGTTTGCTTAAAAAGCTTTAAAGTTTTTTTGATCTAATACGGTTCCAATACGGTTTTTTTTGATCTAATACGGTTCTAATACGGTTCCAATACGGTTTTTTTGATCTAATACGGTTCTAATACGGTTCCAATACGGTTTTTTTGATCTAATACGGTTCTAATACGGTTCCAATACGGTTTTTTTATCTAATACGGTTCTAATACGGTTCCAATACGGTTTTTTTGATCTAATACGGTTCCAATGATTTTAAATAAATATACAAGTTTTGATTGTTTAAAAAACTGTATTTCTTTTATTTTAGTCGCAACTCAACCCCCGAGGTGCCGAATGTTTACGAGGGAAATCTCTACAATCCGTATCCAGGACAAGTGGTAAGCTTGAATTTTTAAGTATAACTGTAAGTATTTAAGTATAACTGTAAGTATTTAAGTATAACTGTAAATTGTAGTTATTTGTACTAGAAAACAAAATCTAATGAGAATACATTTGCAGCTACCGAATCAACAAGTGAACATCGCGTTGTCGGTGATCGCCGTGTGCTGTTTGAACGCGAAAAAAGCCGAGGAGAAGCTCAGCGCCATCACGCAACACATCGACAAAAAGTGAGGGTTTTTTGAAAATATTGGAAATTTTGTTAGGGCAAGTAGTTTTAAACAGACTAAGTTGACACAAAAGTAGCAGAATGTAGGGCAAAAGAAATTCCAAACGAATTTGACAAGTTCGTTTAATTTCACTTTTGCTTTTCGTCTCTCGTCCCTTGGCTGATTATTCTAGAATTTTATCGATAAGTTTACAGCCAAAGACAAAATTGGACGGCTAAAAACTACAGCTAAAAACTACAGCTAAAAACTACAGCTAAAAACTACAGCTAAAAAACTACAGCTAAAAAACTACAGCTAAAAACAATTGAACGATTTGCCAAGAAATGTCTAATTGTAAGGAAATGAAGGTGAAACTAGGCGATTTATAATCTAATATGATCAAATTTATAATTTATATAATAATGAAAGCGATTTATGATTTCTATGAGCAAATATACCTTTAGTTGTTGCAAACGAAAGTCACGCTGGTTTTTGAAAATAGTTTTTTAGGCATTTTACAAAATAACAATTTTATTGAGAGGAGAAAATGGATAGGACGCCCTCACTAACCATAACCATTCGGTTACAAGGCATTTTTTGACGTAATTGAGCATTAGAAGCTGGACGAAACCAGGAATTCGTAAAAACCTTTCAAAAATCATGAACTTTGAAGCCATTTTTCTCAAAAATTTTGTCTGTCTAGTACATTGGAGATCTACTTTTTCGGATTCAGGAAATTTTTCAATAAAATAGGTGTTGTTTTTCAATAAAATAGGTGCTGGAGGCGGTGTACATCCCTTCTCAGGGACAAAGCCTGCTCTTTTAAGAAATTCTAGTAAATGAAGTTTTATTAATAGATGCCATAAAATAATCCTTCATTAAATCTCTTTAATTTTACCTTATTTATTATTTTAGAATCAGAAATCCTGATGTGCAAACAGCGTTGCGATCCCTTTGCAAACTCGGCGACATGGTGGTTGTCGAGGATGATGAGGACTCGGGAAGTCCACTTCACAATGAAGACAAGTTTGTATTTTAAAAAATAGCTCTTTCTTGTATACTAACGGTTTATTCGACTTAAATGTATCATTCTGTTAAACCTGTAATCTGTAAAGCAAAGCTGCAAAGCAAAACAAAGCAAAGCAAAGCAAAACAAAGCAAGCAAAACAAAGCAAACAAAGCAAGCAAAACAAAGGAAACCTAAACTAGTTCAAGTTCATAACTGTATCTTGCTAGTTTTGGTTTAAATAGATGTTCTAATGATGGAAAAAACTTATTTAACCATAAGTTATTGATCTAAAAATCTAAAAAAAACTCATCTATATTATTTAATATTTTTAGACACGGTGGAGAGGATTATTTGTTGTCGCGTCACTTGGCTCGTTTGGACAATCTGCAACAGAAAGCCGAAAAATACGCTTACTATATTCACAACAAAGATGGAGAAAGGTGAGCAGTTGAATCCATAACTGTATCTTGCTAGTTTCGGTTTAAGTTTATGTTCTAATGATGGCTAAAAACGAATTATATTATGTTCTAATGATGGTAAAAATCATCTACATATATATTAGACTTTCCAGAAATCTTTAAGATCTATTAGACTTTCCAGAAATCTTTTCGTTCCTTTTCATACTTCTGTTTTTAAACCAACAAATGCACCAATCATTTCTACCGTTTGTTTCATTAGAAAGCCCAATCATTTTTCTGTGAAATAACATTAAAATGGCTTTCAAATGTTTTATGTCTAGATTTTTTTGGGAACGTGAAGTCGGATAGTCAAAAAGGGCGGCTCGATGATGCTAAGAGATTTTAGAAAAAGAAACCTATCTTGGTATCAATAGATAAAAGCTAGAGCACAAAAAGTTAGGTATATAGACAAATTTTGAGAGAAATTGACTTAGCAAATTTCTTCGTAAAGATTTTGATAGATTTTTACCGAAAAAACACTTTTTTCACTCTCGAATTTACTTAAAAGTAAACCGAAATTGACTTAAAAAGATGGGGGAATTGAACAATAAACACTTTTTATTTAGAACAAAGGTTAATTGGTTAATTGGTTCATAGGTTAATTGGTAAATTTGTTATTTTTTTAAACGGAATTATGAAAAGGAACGAAAAGACTTTGGATATCTTTTATAATCTAGATATCTAGATATCTTTATAATATCTAGATAATAGTTATAATCTAATTTAAATCATCTTTAGATTGATGCAAGCAGTTGCGGCAGTCGAGCAAAAGTTCTTGACACTCGAAAAGGAGAAGGTGAAAATGCAGAAACAAGTCGAAGAGCACAAGAAAGAGGTCGAGAAAGCGGAAAAGGTAGATTTTGAATTTTTTGAAAGCTAGAAAGCTTTTTGAAAGCTTAAAACAACGTAAATAACGTGACAAATGCCTTCATCTACAAATTTAGACCCTCACGAAACACCTCAGCGAACTCCGACAAGAAAAAGACATCAAAGACAAGCTAAATAATCAGCTAAAAGAGAAAAACAAAGAGATCAAGAAATTCGAGAAACGAATCAAAGAGTTGACTGTGATGGCTGAAGAAAAGGATGAGTTGAGAGAACAAAAGGACAATATTCAAAAAGATCTCTCGGCTGAGAAGAAAAAGTATCAGGAATCGGAGAATCGCTTGAAGAAGGAAACAGCCGCGAAAGAGGAGCTGAGAAGACATCTGCAGAATGAGATCAATGGGAAAGATTCGGAGCACGCACGTTTGATGCAAGCACACGAGGAATTGAAGCAGCAGATGAAGAAGATGGAGACAGCGATGAATGCAGAGAAACAGAAAATGGGACAAGTGTTGCAGCAGACACAGGAAAGGGCAAAGAAAGCCGAATTGGTGACAATTGAGCTTGTGTACGAGCATGGAGTGAGGAAATTGGATCGAGGAAGAGAGGATGCCACGATCAATATGAATAAGATGGATGAAGCGGCGACAAGGTGGGGTTTTGAAAGATATTACGTTGGAGTTTAAGTCTTTACAGTCTTTTTTCCAGGCATCTTTTAAAAAATAATGTCGCCACTAACAAAATTACTATTTGAACTATTAAAAAAGTTTAATTGTTTCTCTGCAAAATGGCTTTTTGGAAATTCTTGGAAATAGTTGTTTTAATGGATTTTCAAAGGCGCAAAGGCGAGCGCCCAAAACTACTTCGATGCCGAAGTCGCAATTTGGGCACATTCTTGAATACAAATCTATTTTAGTGCCAAAGTAAAAAAGATAGAGCTCATTTGATTACTTAATTCTGTAAAATTTGAAAACGATCCGTTCAGCGATTTTCTTTAAAACAGCAATTGAAAATTCTACACAAAACTGCCTTTTTGAATCGAGTTGAGGCGAGCTTTGAGCTTTGAGCTTTGAGCTTTCTCTCAAAAGCCATTTTGTAGAGAAATGATAGATCTTTTTAATAGTTTAGGATGCAATAAGTTTGGTAAAAGATACTTTTTCATGGAAACAAAAATTTTAAAAAAAATTGTAAAGACTTATGCACCAACCTAATATATCGGTAATATTAGGGTTGTTCCAGAAAGCTAGATCAGTTTCAAAGCCAAAATGTCTGCCAGGGCAGGGCAAAACCAGTTCAGACACTATTTTGAACCATTTTCTGTCTTGAAGTCAAAAGTTGAAAGCCAAAGAAATCACGGCTTTGGAGCTTGGCTTTGGCTTGTTCTGAAATTTCTAAGAAAAACCCCTGGTCAAGACACCGTAAAGTTACAGGAATCTGTCTGATGATAGTAATCTAGCTACTAAAAGTATTCAACCGATAAGACTTGAATTACCTAATCTTAGCGCATTTCTAGTGAAAAGACTAATATTGTATATTAAAGCTTAATGAATTTGAAAATGAGCCAATTCCAGAGCTGGCTCCACCGCACAACAACAAACCTTCTTGGCGTCGCGGGACGAATGGAAAGGAGTACTCGAAGAGATTCAACGGATGGTTGAAAAGGTTTGTATTTGATTTATACAATCGGTTAGGTTTCAAGGCTTGCAAAAACCTTTGTTATAGCTGCTTTGAATGTCAAGAAGCTAAAAAAGGCACTAACTTCTGATTACAAAAGGGAACTTTTCAGGCAAGAGTCGAGTATTCGGCACAAGTGGACGCACTGAAGAAGGGAAAACAATTGAGCGAGATGACCAAATTCTTGATTCCGAAGCCACCACCCGCTCCAAAGATCATCACCATTCCGTCAGCCACCCCAGCCGCCATTCCAACACAACAACAAGTTGTGCTGCCACCTGAACCACCAAAGGTATTCGTGAGTTTGATTCTTTTTCATAGATTATAAAAGGATCATAATTTACTATGATCTATATCTATTAATTTTAGGCCTCACCTGGAGTGATCGGTTCTCGCACAAATTCCACTGCATCCCAGCTGCCTGCACCAATCGGCACAAATATCTCTCCAAAGAACAAAGCTCCCGGATCGCCGATTCAGAAACCGGTGGCCACCGTCGCTTCACAGCCACAAACCGCCAGTCCATGTAGACATCCAGGTAAGATTTTAGTTTAAAGCAAGTTACTCGAGACTTTGTTGAATCTATCATACGATACCTATAGTTACATTTGTTACCTCTAGGTCCAAACCTTCTAGCTTGAAGTAGCTTACATTGAAAGCACACACACTTTTGCCCACTTTTGATCTGATTTTAGATTCAAGTCTATAGCTGAATATCTTTATTTTTCAGGAGCTATTGGCTCTCGTGCTAACGGCAACGAAGCAACTCCGAGCACCGCTGCCGCACCGGGAACTGCATCAAATCTGAATATGGGTGGATCGTGGCACTGGAATGATTTCAGTTTATCCGACAATTTGCTTGGAAATCGTGGTTTTGGGCCGCTCACAGACAATTTTTCGGCATCAGGTGAACTTTGAAATGAAAATCTGAAAATCGGAAAGAATGTTCTCGATTAAAGCTAGTTGCCAAAGCCATAGAGTTGATAAAAGATAGAACACTTATACTGTCGACTCTCGATACAACGATTTTGAGATTGTAAAGCACGCTCTTGTTTTCTGCGTAGCTGTCCAGCCAAACGCGATTGTTGGCCGTTCTGGGCAACTACGCACAAAATTTTGGGCACTTTTTAAAATCGTTAAATCGAAATTTTTGATCCCGAGCGAATCGTTGAATCGAGAGTCGACTGTAGTTAGAATTAACTTTGCAAAACAGTTTACAAACCTTAAGTACTAGATAATGCTCATTGTTTACCATTAGAAAGTAAAACTGAACAGTTCGAAAGCCGCTACAAGTCAAGATATCAGTCTTTTCCAGCTACTAGTCCAATCTTATTTTTAAATTCCCCCAAATTTCAGCGTCCACCAGCACCAACCCTGCTCCCACCACCACAACGCATGCAACGACAACAAATGGATGGTCGGGTGATGGATGGAATCAGAAAACTCCAACCGCCGTACCCCCAACAGCAAATCACAACTATTTGGGTAGTTTGGGGACAGCCAGTCCGAGTTATGCGGTTTGGGAGAATCCCGGTCCTCGCGCCCAACAACCACCCCAACAAGCGAACATTCCACAACCACCACAGTCTCAGCCACCGCCACACACTGCCGCTCCCGGAGCCCCGATTCAGCAGAACCAGGTTTGTACTGTCATAAAACTGTAGATATTTTTATAGTAAAACCTTTAGTATACTGTATTCAGTCATTAAGCTACAGTACTCTGGAGCAAGTACTGAGCATTTTTAGTTTATCTTTCAAGATACTGTGGAACTTAGAATATAGTAGAGTGTGTTTTCTAGAAGATGCCCAAGCTACTGTAATCTTTGCTTCAGGTTTTCTTTGAATTTCGCTTAATTTTGAACTTATTTGATGAGGAATCAAACTGTGAATTGAATGGGATCAAAAGTAGAATGCTCGGTTACGGTTACGGTAGCTGAAGGAAAGGTTACGGTAGCTTTTGGTCAGCTTTTAGAAAACGGATAAGTCTAAAGGATTTCTATTCTATCAATAAAAGATACTTTTAAATCTTTTCCTTTACAATTTTCTTCATTTTCAGAGAATCACACAGAAATACGGTGGCGAAGAAGCGTTTAAACATCAAACGATCCTCGAGCAAGTCAGCGAGATCTTTCGCCACGTCGAAAAGAAGAAATTGGTGAACTTGTCGAACGAGTACTGCTATCAGAACCAAACGAACTTCCAACACGAACCAATTCCGATTGCTGTGAAGATCCTGGAGAAGTACATCACACAAAAGGTTTGGATTGCTTGGAGTTCTAGGTTTTTTTTTGATTCAAAACAACCAATTTTCCAGCTGAACAACGAGACGAACGATGCGTCGAATCGTCGTGTGATGGGCACTCCGATTCAACCGCCACCCGGTGTCACCCCGAGCTACATGAACATGGGTCCATTATCCGGTTTAGACATGCCCATCAGACAAACACCTAATCAAATGGTTGGTTCTTGATCTTTAACCGAATCACAGTGGTATCGATTATTAATTAGCTAAATCATATAGAGAAATCTATAGATTAATGTTGATATCTATTAGTAATTTAGCTAGACTTCTAACTAGAAGAGCTACTTCTAAAACCTTTAAATACAATGGTTCTTTTATAACTGGGCAGGAGCCAGATTCCATCCTGAAACTAGGACCCGATCAAGCAAAAAGCATAAAGCACCCTTTTCTGGGTTTAGCCATGGGTTTGTTAGCTTTAAAATGCTAGCTTAGAAAGTTAGATATTTTCAATACTAGACTGGCTTAGCTGACACATTAGACCTGTTTATTTGCCGGTCTGATTGTCAATAGGTGTACAACGAAAGATTTGGCCACTTCAACGACAACTTTTTTAGGATTTCTTGCTTCTACGAAGGTAGAAGCTTTTCAAGCTTAATCTTTTTGGTCTAAAAGTGCCTGAAAAGGTAGTCATTGAAGTGGTCAAATCTCGTTTTCCCGTCGCACACCTATTCACAACCAGACTGAAAATGAACAGCTATATTTAGCCAGTCAGAATCCGGGCCAAGTATCTGGGTTAGCCCAGGAAGCCCAGGAAGGGTTAGCTGGGTTGCAGGAAGACTTGTGAAAGTTGGTTCAACGGAAGCTAGACATCGATCTTGCTGGCTTGTGTTTGAATTCTGCTTGGTTACGGCAAAATAATATAAACTAATATAGCTAATATAGTCTACCGTATAGCTGTTGTTGTGCTGGAGTTAACTAACTGACTGATTGGGTCTGATAGTTGAGATTGGATCGAATAGTTGAGATTGGGTCGAATAGTTGAGATTGGGTCTGATAGTTGAGATTGAGCCTCTAAAAGTATGAAGTTGTATAAGTTTGATGTGCAGAGCGACAAAATACAAGAACAAATCGAACAAATCGAACAAAATAAGACCAAATAGAGCACCAGAAAAACTTGGTATTATGTAGGATCGGTGAAGTTGTTAGTGTTGTCAAATAGAAAACAGAAAAAAGAATTTCCAGATGGGCACGTACAACACGATGATGGACAACTCGCTTCTCAACGGCGATGCCACTCGCTCGGTGATCGGCGCCGACAAGTGGAGTCTTCAAAATCTCTAGAAAATTCGTCAAGATCAAGAATGACAAGAATTACAAGAATTTCCCCCAAAATCCTTGCTTTGCTTAGCTTAAAAACTAACATCTAACATCTAACATCTAAAGAAGAAAGAAAATCCGAAGAAAATCGCACCGCCAGGCGTTTTTCTTTTTTTGGGATTCCCAGAATTTTTTTTCCTCTAAAAATGTCCGAAGTCCGTCGATTTTTGTCAAAAAATTTTAGTGCTAGTGTCTGAGTTTTTTTTTAAATTCAATGCAAATCGAATTTATCCCATTCGAATTTGGAATTCAATGCAAATTTTGGATACAAATTTGTTGGTTAAATGCTAATTTCGCGTGTTCCTCCCCCCGGGCCCTTTTTTTTTATAGATTCTTTTGTTTCGATAATTATTCACAATTTTTTTTTATCCCGTTTTTCTTGAAAACGTTTGTGTGTTGTTTTCTTGTGTACAAAAGATAACACGCGAAGTTTTTTGTTTTGTTTTTCCATTTTACACACATTTTTGAATCTTTTGAATCTTTTGACTCTTTTGACTGACTTTTTTCTCTCTCTTTTTTCATTTATTCATTCATTTTCCCCTCCCTTTCCATCACACACACATCTTGAAAATATTTCTACTATATTATTTTTCTTTTTCTTTTTTTTTCGTCGTCGCTGATATTTTATATTTTATATTTACTTCTTTTTCTTTTCTACTATACCTACTAGCGTTCGAGGAACACTTTTTATTAATAAAGTGATTGTTGTGCGTTAAAGGAAAGCGCTTAAAATACAGGAAAAATAAAATTATCTTATTCAAAAGGAACTCGAAAATGTGTAGACATACAAAAGAAAGTAGAAAAATGAGAAAAATGAAAAATTCAAGAAAGAAAGAAAAGGAAACTACAATGAGAAACTACAATTTTATGAGAATAGGTACAAGAGCGCTTAGGCAAAAGATACTAGGCAAAAGATCCTAGGCAAAAGATACTAGGCAAAAGATACTAGGCAAAAGATACTAAGCAAAAGATCCTAGGCAAAAGATACTAGGCAAAAGATTTGATTTCATTTACAGCGTTCTTAAAACGAGGGAAAGATGCTAGGATTTCCGAGTTTAAAAGTAAATTATTTAACCCATTCGAAACTTCTGCAGCGAATAATCGCTGCAGCAAAAACTCAGGAACGGACCGCTGCAGCGCTAATTGAACTATTTTCATTCAATTAATTGCTCTTTTTTTTTTGCTGTTTTTCAGCATTACATGTATATTCCAATTGTAGCAGATCTACAAATTACGTGGGCAAAAAGATGTTTCATATTTACCCGGAATCAATGCAGTCTCTGGTTTTGCATTGAAATGTTCCATAATAGCTCTAATCTTATAAAGCCGGATCCAGTTCTGGATCCGGCAGCCTCTGGATCTCCTGCAAGACCAGTTGGCCGACTGGTTAGGAATCTTCTCTCCTAATCGGAAGATCCAGGGTTCGATCCCGCTGGCGAAATCAAGTGTGTGTTCTTTTTCCCATTAAGTTGGGTTTTTTCTTAACTACATTGTAGGGGTAAAAATTGTGTCCTCCGTTGTGTTGTATCCACTTATTCATGTTGAATAAAGTATCTTTTAGGATCCAGTTCCTTATCACAAAAACGCAGATTTCGAAGAATAGATTCGAATTTTGCTCTTGACATAATGTGGGACATGTGGGAAAATCCTCCTAATCCATGCCTGCTACTCCAGTAGTCACGAATCCTCGGTAATTTGACGATTCCCATTTGAAGCCAGGAAGAGCTTGAGAGATTTTGCATCGAAATCCTGCCAGTTTGTTTTCCTTTTTCCATGTTTATGAGATTCGCCTACTAAAATATTGTCGTCGATAAAATAAGAACAATAATCGATAGGATCTTGAAAAGTACTGAAGTCAAAGCCAAATCGTTCTTCATCATGGTGTAGGAGACTCTTAAAATCTTTCCAACCATAAATAAACTGCTTCGGAGTCAAAAATGTCAAAAAATGCGCTTGGTCCGTAGACGAAAAAAAAGAAAAAAAACGCTGCGGTTTCGAATGGGTTAAAAACTTAGAAAGACGATTTGAGCAAAAATACAAGACAGTGTTGCACGAGGATGTTGGATCTTGAGAATTTCATAGAAAGCCCCATTTCTGCTTCGTCTTTGAGCGAGTTTCAGTAAATTCAATAGACTCTGAGCTTGCGAGTGTATTAACTGATAGGCTAAGGTCTAGTCTAGAAGTCTAGAAGAAGACGACGGTGTTGCAAAGATTTGCGATCGAAAATTTTTAGCCTATCAAAATACGAATATTTCAAGCACTTAAAAGTCAAAGCATACAATTTTGAGAAAAGTCAACTTCTCACCGATGTAGCGAAAAAGAAGAGGGAAGACGGAGTAAAGGAGCTTCAGCAGCATTGTAGTACTTATGGAGCCCAAGCTATCGACTATTCGGCGACTTTTCAAGGTCAAAACTAGAGCCAAAACTATTTTTAACCACTAAATATGCATTCTTTGACTTAAATTGACTGGTAGAGGCAAAAGAAATCGAAAAATATTGTTTTTATTTTGCGCTACGTTTAACTGTTTAACTTCAAAATTGGAAATTCCGCTGCCGAATCGCATCGTTCTCTCTGTGCTGCTTTCGGAGATGGCAGTTTGTCTCTCAGGCAGTGTCAGACTTGGTTTCAATGGCTCCGAGAGGGGGACGAGGCTTTGGAAGATGACGAGCACGATTCGAGGCCAGAAGTCGTGAACGAAGCCAAGCTGAGGGACATTATACAGGTCGATCCATGCCAATCTGCTCGAAATCTTGCGAAAATATTCCATTGTGATCATGTCACCATCGAACGCCATCTTCACGCTATTGGATAGAAAAGTCGCTGTGGAAGATGGGTTCCTCATCAACACAGTGATGCTAACCTCGCATCCCGCATTTCCATCGCTGGCATTCTCCTGAATCGTGCAAAGAAGATGTGAAAGATGGGTTCCTCATCAACACAGTGATGCATTTCCATTGCTGGCCATATTCCATTGTGATCATGTCATCATCGAACGCCATCTTCACGCTATTGAATCCATTGCCGCATTTCCATCGCTGGCATTCCCCTGAATTGTGCAAAGAATAGCGGATCTCTTGATTCTATCGTGACATCGGATGAGAAATGGATTGCATACGACAACTTTACGCGAGAACGACAGTGGCTGAGCGCCGGCGAACGTGCTGTTCCAACCTCAAGGCCCGAAATCCACGGGAAGAAGATCTTATTGTCTGTATGGTGGGACAGCAAGGGTTTGGTGTACTTTGAATTACGGGAACATGGAAAAACGGTCACTTCAACATGTTGCGAAAATCACGCAGCAGAAAATCGAAGAATTTGGATGAGAAGTCCTGCCTCACCCTCACGTTTCAACGATTCCGAGAGGGGGACGAGACTTTGGAAGATTACGAGCACGGTTCAAGGCCAGAAGTCGTGAAAGAAGCCAAGCTGAGGGACGTTATACAGGCCGATCCATGCCAATCTGCTCGAGATCTTGCGAAAATATTCCATTGTGATCATGTCACCATCGAACGCCATCTTTTTTTTTGAATTTACCGTCAAATCGGCAGTTTTTTTGCACCACCCTAATATTAAAGTCGTTGAAATGCGACCAGTTCTAAAGCGACAGAATGTGTTTAATCCGATCCGATGGACCACTGTTTTGGATCTGATTTGATCCGATCCGACTAAAAGCTGATCGAAAACTTTCTAGTTAGAAGATCCCTGACATCAAGATCTGCAAAAAAACTAACATCAAGAAATCCTTTGTGTTCTGGAGGTACATCAAATTCCAGTTTGAGCACTTGGCTTATTTGGTTTTCTTGGTGAGATTGCATCTCCTCATCGCATTTCAAATTGTTCCACATCAATATAATCTAAGAATCAAATATCAAACGAATATCAAATATTAAATTTTGCAAATCACAAACATTTCTCTTTGTCTCATCATTGATTTTCTTGTGCGGTGAGGTGTAGAGACACTTCTCGATGCTGGAGATCCTGAGGAGTTGAAATAAAGTGAATAAAGTCAGAAAAAAGCTCAATACAAGTTCAAAATTATAATTTTGTCCTTAAAACAAACCAAATAGAGTTGACAATTCGATCGGGAAAGAATAAAAGAGGCACATGAAAAATCAAAAACTTCCAATCAACATTCTCTATTCTCAAAAGATCGAAATACCTTTGCTAAATTGAAAATAAAATTATTCTAATTATTCTAATTATTCTAAATAGGATTTAGAACCTTAAGGGTAGTGTAAAGTAAATCGGATTTATAATTTTATGGTTTATTAGTACAGAACCAAAAATGCAACGATACCAAAAACAGCATGCGCATGAATAGAAACATCAAATCCTGAAAGAACGAAGGCAAAACCCCAAGCCCAAAGGGGCGAGAAGCTACACCAAAAATTCTATTCAAAAAACAAACAAAAAAACAATTTGGCGAAGAGAGTGAGACGAAAATGCGACGCGAATAATTGCAAAATAGAAACGCAAAAAGGAAACGCAAAAAGGAAGGAAACGGATGCGACCCTATAGCCAAGCCAATTTTCTAACTCATTGACGCTTCTATTAGGGTGGTGCAAAAGAAACTGGGTATCAGCCGATGGGTATCAGCTCTCATTTATCAGAAACGAGCGATGCTAATGGCATTATTTTTTTTATGTTTTGTTCGCATATTTGTTTGCTATTTATTTCGACATTTGAATTTTTTGGTTGTTGTTTATTTTATTTAAAAATGTTTATATTTTTTATTTAGATCATGGTCGAGCAAAAGATTACGAGCAGCATTACTGTTTAGCTTCAAAATTGGAAAGCCTGCTGCCAAATCGCATCGTTCTCTCTGTGCTGCTTTTGGAGATGGCAGTTTGTCTCTCAGGCAGTGTCAGACTTGGTTTCAACGATTCCGAGAAGGAGACGAGGCTTTGGAAGATTACGAGCACGGTTCAAGGCCAGAAGTCGTGAAAGAAGCCAAGCTGAG